GTGTCCGCCCCCCCCCCATTCCCCCACAAGGAAAGCCACAGTCTCTGGAGACAGTGTCAAGTCCTGTCACAACCCATTTGGAGCTGCGGGACCCCCACCACCACCAGCATCACCCCCAACTCACCAGCTGTTGAGCGTGTTCCCCCATAGGACTGTCCCATAGCTCCCAGCACGTGAGCTGTTCCTGAGTGGGCACGTCTAGACTCAACCATCTTTGCAGTCCTGCAGCTCCCATGTCCACTCATTTCCCTGGAGCAGGTGACCTTCTTGCATGAGTCCTGGGATGTCAGGGAACTAGTGACTGACGTGGATCATTCCTGCTTCAGTGAGCTCCTCTGACCTTCCTGGGTCTCTGTTCCAAACACACACCCCTTTCCCCAGCCATGGTCACGTTGCCTTCCTGCCTGACTGTGTCAGCACAGGCACAGACTTGGGCCTCAACACCGCCCAGTTCGTTGGTAGCCACCAAGCACAGCTGTCCCCTGCTTCTGCGGGAGAGGCGTCCTCCCAAGTGGAAGGTTGTCCTTTCACATTGCGGTGGCCGTGCATACACCTAGAAGCTTTAGGTCCATCGCAAGCTATGACCAGGCGCTATCCAAATGTCAGTAAATACCCAGCTTCTCAGAGTACGCCTTGAGGAGCGGTCCCCTGCCCCTTAGGGCCCCCCCACACACACCTTGTGTGATGCTTGTGAGCCCTGCTGTCCCTAGAGTGACTCACCTGGAAGTTGTGGTTTCTCAGGTTATGCCCATCAACACAGGGACAGGCTCAGTCACTGTCCCACCGCAAGGTAGAGAAAGCCCTCACATTGAATGTCTCTGGCCCAGAGTTTTTGCTGTAAGCCCCAGTCAAGGCTATGCCTAAGGCTACTGCACAGAAATGTGTCCCGACCAGCCCTGCCCCTGCTGCACGTGGATGGGAAGCATGCCCAGTTCTTAGTTGATATGGCCACTTACTCCTGCCAGGGTGTGGGCTCCGCAGTTGTGTTTAATGGAGAAGGCATTCATTACCTGGTGAGATAATACTGTACATCCCATAATACAGTCGGGTAGAGGGGGTATGTGTATCACAGGAAGTGTGTTCAAATCCACCAGCCTCTGTGAACCTTTAGCACACCTATTAACACTCCAGCTCACAGTCCTGTCAACCCGAGAAGTCTTACTCATTTTATTTCAGTGTGTGAAGGTGTTCTGCCTACCCGTGTATCTGTACACCACTTGTGTGCCTGGTACCCTCAGAAGGTATCGAATTCTATCGGGACTGGAGTTAAAGGTGGTTGTGGGCCACCATGTGTGTGTTTGGGATTGAACCTGGGACCTCTGCAAGAGCAACAAATGTTCTTAACTGCTGAGCCATCTCTCCAACTTTCACATTTTTGATAGATAGATAGATAGATAGATAGATAGATAGATAGATAGATAGATAGATAGATAGATAATACCCGAAGTGGGAAGGTCTTCCCCCCTCAATCAGTACAGTAATCTCCCTATAGACAGGCCCAGCAGCCCGTCTCCTGGGTGATTCTGGACTCTGTCTAACACAGCCTGGTGTATCCTTCACTTTGCAGCAGTCAGGATCCAAAGCCAGGATCCTGCATTGGGACCCTCAGAACCCCCTGTAGGACAAAGCCAGGTCCCTGCATTTGGACCCTCAGAACCCCCTGTAGGAAGGCTCCTTTGGGGAGCTGATAATGGGATCGTAAACAACTCCTCCACACGAGGCCTTCTGCTCTCAGAATGTCTTGGTCTTCCCTCCGGCAGTTTCTTTCACTTTTGGTGACCAGAAGTCCCTGCAGGTGTGTGACTTTTTCCTGGAGGCTGAAGTTGGTCTCAGGCCAGTGTGGGACCCGACTCTCTCTACTTCAGTTGTAGCTTAGAAAGCTTTACCAAGAAATTGAGCCGGTCACGTTTTCTTAGTAGAATGTGGAGCTGGTGCCTTCAATGAGAGCACAACACAGCTGTGGCCCTGTACAGAGTGTGACCACGTGGTCACCCAGAAGTCATACTCCTTATCTTCTTCCTTCCGGACCACATTTCTGTGAACCAGTGCCATCCCAGCAAATCCACTCCCAGCCCTAGTGCTGTCAGTATATGGGAAGAGCATAGTTTTTTCCTCATCTCGCTTAGCAGTCAGCACAGACTCCTGGTCACCAAGATGGAATGCAGATTTCTCCACCAGTAACCGGGTCCTCCGGTCTGTAGTGGGTACCATCTGCAGATGCCTCGGATTCCAATGAGTTCTGACAAACTGGGGCGCAGCCCCAAGCCCTCCCACGCGCACACGGCTTTGAGAAGCATTCATTGAGTGTCGTGTTGTGTGAGTATGTGTGTCTATGTGCCGTGGTGCTTCTGTGGAACCAGCCGCCTCCACGGCATCGCTTGTTCCAAGTCCCAGATTTGTTTTGACCATGCCTCTGACCCACTGGGGGTGAATCAGGCCTCCTACGGTCCACTCTTCAGACTTCATTAATTTGTCAGGTGACTCACAGAGCCCAGCAGGGTGTTTACCAATCTGTTATACGGCCTAGACATGAAGAGCTGCAGAGGGAACGAGCACATGGACGTGCGAGCTGCCCTCCAGCAACCTTCGTGGGCTCCGCTGTCTGGACCCTAGACGAGGAGCTCCCAGGTCCCTGCCTTTGCCTTGGAGTCTTGACAAGGACTTCACTACATAGACAGACACTGGGTTAGACCATTGGCTGTTGTCCTACCACACTCAAGTCCCATCTGCTCACCCCTGAGAAGCCTGAGAGCCAGGAGTCAGTGGGGGAGCCGGCTATAATTGAGGACCTGCCTCCTGACAGCGAGACAGTAGCTAGCTTGTCTGCCTCCCTCCCAGACACACACTCTCGGGGTCTTCATCAATCAGGGTGTGCGTCATTGTTCTTTCTGGCCAGAGTATCTTCACAGTGGACGGTGACTTCCTGGAGGCACGGCGCGCAGTCCCTTGGGAGGACACAGCCCTGTGCAGTTTGGCCCAGCAGTCCCCATGCTGGGTTGCTCATGCACCGTGCTAGGAGGAGTGGCCCACATTCCGATGTCACCTGAAGGTCACCAGGTGCTCTGGGCTCTGAATCTGAAGAGAGATTATTTGGCAATCGCCCTCTTAGCTGCTCCTTTAGAATGTGGGGCACAGGGCGGGGAAAACAGCTCTCCAGAGGACAGGCGCCAGAGGAGAAAGCCACTGCTTAGAACTGGCCAGAGAGTTAAGGGAGTGTAGGAGCTGTGGGCTGACCTAAGACCCAGGAGTAAGTACCGTGGCATCATGGGAATCTTAGTTATCTCATCGCCTCACCCCATCCCTCTGGGCCAGGTTCCCCTTCCTGCCCCTCCATGACTGAAGTCACTAACTGTTCCCCTTGTTCCTACAGCCATTGAAGATGAATACAGTGGGCCCAAGCTTGAGGACGGCAAAGTGACAATCACCTTCATGAAAGAGCTCATGCAGTGGTATAGGGAACAGAAGAAACTGCACCGGAAGTGTGCCTACCAGGTACCACACCACCCACCCGTGCCACCTTTGAGTAAGCGAGGATGTGCATGGTTGGGAGAGATCTCAGATAACAGAAGTCATTACTTTTTTTTTTAAAGATTTATTTACTTTATGTATATAAGTGCTCTATCTGTGTGTCCTACTTTATGCCAGAAGAGGGCACCGGATCATAGCCATAGATGGTTATGAGCCACCATGTGGTTGCTGGGAATTGAACTCAGGACCTCTGGAAGAGCAGTCAGTGCTCTTAACCCCTGAGCCATCTCTCCAGCCCCCAATAGAAGTCCTATTTCTAGGACAGAGTTAGCCATACATGTCGCCCCTCCTGTGATAGTGTCACAGCCCGCCTCTGGTCATAGCCCCAACAGGAGCTACCTGCCACCAGCCTGAGCAGCTGTAAACCCCCTGGTGTGGCGCCTCCCCCCTCCCCCCTGAGGGGCTACTGTCACCATCTGTGGTGTGATTCCTTCAGGATTTTGGATGCATTTATTAATTTTCTTTTGGAATGTGATGTTGGCTGTTAGGGGTAGCAAGAACAGTAGTCTTTACAGCTTCCTTAGTGGCCTCCTCCCGTCTTTTGTTTGGTTTGGGGGGATTGATTTTTTTTTTTTTTTCAAGACAGGGTTTCTCTGTGTAGCTTTGGAGCCTATCCTGGCACTCACTGTTAGACCAGGCTGGCCGGGAACTCACAGAGATCTGCCTGCCTCTGCCTCTCGAGTGCTGGGATTAAAGGCGTGCGCCACCAACGCCTGGCTTTGGGGGGCTGGGGGTTCTTTTTATGAGACTTTCTCTTCTCCCCAAATTTTGGGGTTTTGTTGATGTTGTTATTAAAAATACATGGAAGTTAGCTGGGTGGTGGTGGCACACGTCTTTAATCCCAGCACTCGGGAGGCAGAGGCAGGTGGATCTCTGAGCTCAAGGCCAGCCTGCTCTACATAGGGAATTCTAGACCAGCCAGAGATACACAGTGAGTGAGACCCTGTCTGAAAAATAAAAAGAATGAAACTATATACCCCAAGCTAAACTTAACCTGCCAGGATTGCAAGTATGTGTCCCCCGTACACCCCCCAGCAGATTGTCAAAACGCCAATACCCGCTGCAGGGTGGAAAGGTCCCCTGCCCGCTTCTCTGCAGAGAGAGGCTTATATCTCCAGGAGCTTTATGGCCATGCATTACGTGTGTGCAGGCCTGCTCTGTGTACATGTGTGCACCCACATGTAGAGCATGCGTGAGTCTGTAGGTGTGAGAACAAGGAGACGGGGTCTTACTCAGCTGGAAACCCACCAGCCTATCTGGGCTGGCGAGCCCACAGGCTCCGGGAATCTGCCTGTCTCTGCCTCCTCTATGCTGGAATGACAGACAGACGTGCCTGCCTGTCTGTTTACACTGCATGTGTGCAGTACCTGTGGAGGCCAGAAGAGGGCACTGGATCCTTTGGAACTAAAGGTGTGGACGGTTGTGAGCCACTATGTAGGTGCTGGAAATCAAACCCTGGTCTTCTTTAAGAACAGCCGATGCTCTTAGCTGCTGAGCCATCTTTCAAGCCCCCAGTCACGAGGATTGAATGACACATGGGCCCCTCAACCCCTCTTGAAGGCCACCTCTGTCCCTAACTGGCACCCAGTAGTAGTCCAGGCCTTCCCAGTAGCGCCCG